GAGCCGCTGAGGAGGAGGCTCGCAAGGCTGCTGAGGCCGAGAAGTCTGCGGATGCTCCCAAGGATGAGGAGATGACAGACGCTAAGCCCGAGGTCGAGGAGGCTGGCGAGGGCACGAAATAGAATCCCGTGAACTTGGCTGACTTCTGAACAAGAGAAGTAGTGGTGACGGAGAAAAAGAAGCAACGAAGAAGATAGAATAGACCCAAGTTATGGTTTCTTTCGGGTTGGCATAGGGTTATTAGGCTAGAGCAGCTTCGACGGTTATCATGGAATGAGAGCAATGACATGACAATTTGATGATATTCTGGAATTTCAATCATGTCTACAAACCAGGCCTCCCGAGCGATAGTGGTGAGGAGGTTGAGTGCGGCTCCCCTAGTTGCGTGTCAGCATGCTCGCTACGAAGCGGCACGCACACATGGTCAAGTGCTTCATTGAAATTCTTCTCTCTTCTTCTTTAATGACGACCAGAATTGCCGCAAGAATGCTTTTGGAGGGGGGCTTCTTTTTGGGGGAGGGGGAAGATGTCTCGTACACAAAAGTAAATAAACTCTTTTCTTCTCGCAATTCTCTCCACCTACGTGTCCATCCATCCATGTCCATGCCGTCCATATGTTTTCCCGCCAACCTTTTCATCCCTTCATGTTCATACTTCTCTTGGCCAGCCATTACACAACCCTCATGACATGTTTGTGAACCCAAAAAAAATGAAAGACGCAATTGCTTTGGGGTGTGTGCATTTAATGGATGTCGAAGAGAGGCTTGAGCTTGATGATGAGTTGCCACTCGTCGTTGGTAACCTCCTTGCGATAGAACTCCTTGAGCGTGTCGATGGAGGCACGGGAGATGAGAGAGTACAGAGTGTCGGCCTCTTCAAGCTGGCGGCCGTACGTGGGCTGAGAGCCACCCATCTCGATCTTGACAGCCACGGAAGGCTGGCCCTTCTTGCAGACGGGAATCTGCTTGTGGTCACGTTCGATGGAAGTACTGAGTAGAAATTAGCATCTCTCTGTACTTGGAAAGGGGAGATAAGAACTTACACTCTGCCCAAGCTGACGACTTCCTTGACACCCGTTACCGCATTCGTCTTGACGGCTGCAATAGGGGTGTTGACCTTCAACTGACCCTCCGCGACGTCAACACCGACGACAATAGGATTCGTCTTGTTGAAGACGGCAACGGTGTTGAGGACGCAAGGGAAGACGGCCAACATCTTGGACTCCTCCTTCTTCTTCTCCAAAAGATCCGCCATGTGCTTCGTGAAGGCGTCAAAGAGATGGTAAATAATGTCTGCAGTGAAGATCTTGACTCCGACCTCGTCGGCGTAAGACTGCGCCTCCTTGTCGACCTTGACATCGAAGCAGAGCATTACGGCGTAGTCTGCGGCCTTCTCCAACATGATGCCAGCTTGCATGACATCACGCTTGAAAACCGGACCGATGCCAACGTTGGCGACGGGGATCTTGCAATCCTTGAGGAAGTCGAGCAAGGCCTCGAGAGAACCAAGGGTAGAGGCCTGGACACTGACACCGCGGCCCGTCTTCTCGACTCTGCTAAACAGAGTGGCGAGATCAGACTCCACCTCGTCGATGAGGTCGTCCTCATCGTCGTCAGGGCCAACAACCATCATACGAGAACCAGCAATGGCGCCTTCAAGACCAGGAGCGCTGATCTTGACACCCAAGGCAGCCTTGACCTCCTTGTTGTGCACGTACGCAGACTTGAGACGGAGCTCACGCAGTGGTGCCGGCGTCAGCAGCGCACGAATGTTTGTGACGATGGCTCCTTCTACACCACACAAGACTATCCGGTCACCTTCGCGAAGGATACCGTTGGACAGGATGACGTCGATGGTCATGCCGAAACCCTCGATGGCCTTGACCTCGAGAACAGTGGCCTGAACCTCGGAGAGGTACATGAGAGATCCGACCATACGCTCCTGAGTGAGATGCACAATCAGCTTGAGCATGTCGGGGATACCCTCACCGGTGTGTGCAGAAGTGGGGATGAGGGAGACGTTCTTGGCCATGGACTTGTTTTCGTAGAACAGCTCGGCGTTGAAACCCTGCTCGGCAAAGGCGAGCTTGGTCTGCTCGAGACGGTTCTTGAACTCGTTCTGGACGCTCTTGGGCTGGAGAGCCAAACTCTCCTGGAAGCCGTTGTTATCGATCTTCTTCCAGCCGTAGAGACGATCGATCTTGTTGAGCGCAACGACGAAGGGAGTCTTCCTGTCACGCAGCATTCTCATGGACTCCAGCGTCTGGGGCTCGAGGCCGTGCATGATGTCGACGACGAGAATGGCAATGTTACAGAGAGACGAACCGCGCGATCGCAAGTTGGAGAAAGACTCGTGACCGGGTGTGTCGATGACGAGGAGACCAGGGACCTTGAACTCGAACTCGCCGTTGGGGTTGACGACGGCAGTCTTCTGCTTGATGGCCTCGACGGGGAAGTAAGTCGCACCAATCTGCTGAGTGATACCGCCTGCTTCGCCCTCCTGGACGTTGGTCTGACGAATCTTGTCGAGAAGCTTCGTCTTTCCAGTATCGACGTGACCCAAAATACAGCAAATAGGGGAGCGCAGGTTGTCCTTGGATCTGGCAGCCAGAGCAGCCTGGTGGGCCTTCTCACGACGCTCAGCAGCCTCCTTCTTGCGCTGAAGTTCGGCTTGACGGGCGGCGGACTCTCTCTCATCCTCAGAGTCAGACTCAGATTCGGACTCCTCGTCCTCATCATCGTCCTCGTCTTCATTCTGAGCAGACTTCTCACCGGCCTTTCCGTTGGCCTTGGCCGCCTCCTTCTTCTCTTGCTCATCTTCGGTGTCAGCATCCCAGCTGTCCTTGACATCATCGTCTTCGGCGGCAGCAGCGGCCTCCCAATCGTCCTCCAACTCGCTTTCTTCAGCAGCCTTCTTCTTGGCCTCGGCGGCCTCGGCCTCGGCCTTTTCTTTCGCCGCTTTCTCCTCCGCCTCCTTGGCCAGCTGCTCTGCCTGCTGCCTCGCGCGTTCGGCGGCCTCGGCGAGAGCCTTCTCCTCGTCGATCTACATTGCATGATTAGCATCAGAACCAAGCCAACCGATCTTAGGAACCGAAGATCAGACTCTTAAACCATACCTGGTTTTGTTGCTTGCGACCTCCCTTCTTCTTGTTCTCGTAGACGGGCTTCTTCTTCTTCTCGCCCTCGTCGCTGGGACCGACCTTGATACCGGCAGCAAGCATTTGTTGGAGCTTGCGCTCATTGCGGGCCTTCTCCTCCTTCTGGGCTTTGGTCAAGAACTTGCCCTCCTTCTTGAGCTGCTCGATCTTCTCCTTCTCCTTCTGCTTCTTGAGGGCCTTGGCCTCTTCCCTGCGTTTGGACTCTTCCTCGAGGCGGGCTTCCTCTTCGGCAATCCGTGCCTTCTCTTCCTCAGCCAAACGGGTCTCTTCTTCTTGCTTGCGGCGCAGCTCCTCTTGCTGCTTCTGGATCATGGCCAGATGAGCAGGGATCTTCTTCTTCTTACCACCCTTCTCCTCGACAGGGGCCGGAGCAGCGGCGGGGGCGGTGGTGTCCTTCTTCTCCGGAGCCGCCTCCTTGGCGGGTTCGGCAGCCTTCGCTGGAGCGCCGCCCTTCTTCTTCGCAGCCTGCGCGACGAGTTTAGCGCGATCATGTGCAGAGCCAGTAGGTTTTGTTGATACTCACCTGCTCCTTCTTACGCTGCTTCTCCCTCTCCTTCTTCAGCTTTTCCTTCTCAGCTTTGGTCAACACACGACCAGAAGTATCATCGTCTTCGCCGGCCGGGGGAGCGGGTGCAGGGGCGGCCTGCTTGCCCTTGCCACCCTTGCCACCCTTGCCCTTCTTCTCGGGCAGAGCGAACTCGTCGTCCATATTGGCTTCTTCGGGAGCCTTCTCGGCAAGATCGGGGGAAGTTTCGGGCTCAGGGATGGGCTCGACGGGCTCCTCAATACCCCTCTTCTTCCTCTTCTCTCTGTTCTTGCGCATGGTGGCCATCAAACCTCCCGCGCCGCCCGTATCTTCATCTTCGGCTGGCGCTTCGACAGCAGCCTCTGGAGCGCCATCGGCGGGGGCGATGCTCTCACCGAGCTCGTTCTCCCAGTCGTCGTTGGCCCGGGCCTTGTTACCCTTCTTCTTGGGCGGCATTTTGGCGGGTATCAATTGGGCGAACTGGGGTTTGAAAAGTGTGTTCCTGGATGCAAGGTGTGCCCAGAGGGGAGGGGGAGAAAAGGTTGCCAGTTGTGGGCGAAGCCAGAAAATGAGTGACGGCAGAGAATCAATCGAAATTCCCAAGGATGTGTGGGGTAGTTCCTTTTTTTTTTTTTTTTTTTTTTTCCCCTCTCGGCGGGCGTCTCAAGCTCAAAAAGGCGGTACGGCAGCAGTTCAAGTGGCAATAAATCACGAATCACTGGTATGTTGATACTACTCAGTCAACATCCGCCTGATGGCTATTTATCCCAACGAATGTAGAAGGGCCGCCGTGGATGTTTCGTCGAGTTTTGGGAAGTGAATAGGACAAGGACAGATGGAGAGAGAGAGAGAGAGAGTATCCGTACATCAGCACATTCACTGCGGGGCACAGGTCGTGTTTGAAAGTGTGCACCTAGTGTGGGAAGGAGCAGGGGATCCAAAGCCCGCGCAGTGGCACTAAACGCAGTGAGTGGAGGTGCCTGGCAGCCAAGGGTTCCCCGCCCGCGCGCAACCTAGGTAAGGTAGCAGGGAACCTCCCAACGGCTCCTCCACCACTGCAGCACACATTCACACCGTACGAACGTCCGTCGCGTCGCGAGCTTTTCCAACAGCCAAATCTTGGGTTGATAGCAAGAAAATGCATTGGACCAGCTTCTTGTGTCCCTTGTTCAATCATGTTTAGAAGCACAATCCTCGCTCTGACATCTATGGCATGGGTACGTGCAAGCCGTGTTGCGGCCTTCTTTTTAACCTAGCACTATCTACCAAGCCATCCAGCTCGCTGGAAGAAGAGCAAGATCATTGCATCCCTGTGACTCATAGCACCGGACTCAAATGGTATTCCAGCACGACGTATGCCAAGCCGAAATACTTCGATACATCATTGTCATCTTGAAAGGACGCTGTCCACTTTCCATCGTCCAAATAGTCCAGATACTCCCTCAAGAGGTCGATGTTGCTGTCTTCGGATATGAGCTTCTCCAGCGCTCGCTTGTCGACACACCTTTGGAGCAGATCTCCGTCTATGTGCTTCATTGTTGCAGGTGCCTCCCTCACCTCCGCATCGTAATCCTCGTCATCCAGCACCGAAACCTCATAACTGTAAGGAAATAAAAGATGGCTCCTTACTGCAAGGTTCTGTACGAAACGCAGGAATCGCCACGCGTGCATGTCCAACAGGCTGAAATGCATCAACGCCCCATCTAGGCACATTCCGAGTAACTCAGCTCCATCCACTGTGCTGGGTATATGTCCGTATCGTGGTCCATGATCCGTCTCTGACTGCGTCGCCAGTTGCGTCGCCAGCCACTCGGGACGAACGTGCCCACGCCCGAGCTTTCTGACGCTCACAGGCAACGAACCCTCCGCGACGACCTCCAACTCTTTGCCTCTCTGTTGCCAAGGAGTCCAGACTGCTGCAAAATCGCGGTTCATACCGCAAAGTAGAGTTATGGGCCAGGCTGCTGGTCCGTCTGCGCACTCCCCAATATTAAAGAAATCATTTGACTTTCTTGTCGTCTTGTCCATGTGAATGAGGTCCATCTCCTCACCATAGTGGTCCGTCTTGTGATCTATGACCACTACCGAGTCGCCCAAAGTCAGAGCACAGATCTTGCCATTTACTAGTCGCAATGAAATGGCGGGGGAGTTTAGCTCGTAGCTTTTCTGTCGTACCAGCTTCTTCTCACCCGTGTCGAGAACCTCTGAATATAGAGTGCTCCCAGCACAGTACACAAGTCCTTCGTCGTCCCCTACAACGGAAGATATGGGGGCTTGCTCTTTTGACTTGTACCGAGTAGAGAAACGTATCCTCTTTCGCTTCTTCCCCTCCGAATCTCGATCTTCGTCAGCGGTGGGGGATAGAAGTATAAGGCGCCCTCCTCTTGTGGTGACAATTAGATAATGAAACGTCATGCCTGCTTGAGTGAACAGCCACTCATACACCCCAAGAATCCTATCACCGTGACCGCCTAGTCCGTTGACAAATATCGTTGGGTTACCGTGCTTGTCGAGTGGATACGACAAGTCTTCTCCCGTTTCGAGATCCACAAACATGATGTTCGGTTGGTCTCCCACCTGTATCGCAACGACGAGGCACTGAAGCGTCTTGGAGTAGAGCACCTTTCCGGGCGTGCCTGTCCGTAGTGGCAGACGCCTGGGCACTGGTCCGTCTTGTAGGTACAATTCTGTGAACGAGATGCGCTCACCAGAAAGAAGTACCAATGGTAGTCGATTCTCCATGCTATGAGCTCTCGGTATACTGGCAGCTGAGATAACGGGTAAAGATGGCATGGCCGGATTCTTGAGGTCTGTTACCCAAGCGCGATGTCGCGTTGCGAAATACCCAGGTCTCTTAGCTTCAAAGTCTCGCAAGAGTAACAAGGCATCGTTGGAGCAGACCAAGACAGCCCCTGGAACAGACTTTGCGTTGATAGGCAGAACCTCAACTGAAACGGTTCCAAGCCTCTCTCTGTAGATTGCTCGATCGTCAGGAGTGGAGCCTTTCAGCTCTACCGTTATCAAATGGCCGCTTCGAGATCCCATGACCAAGTTTGTCTTCTTATCGGTTTCAGAGACCACGACGATTGAATTGATCAGTTCGACAGTTGAAGATATGTCCATCGCATCTCCTTGCTCCGTATCGTCTACTCCGTCTGTAACAATGTTGGTTAACGCGTCAAAACGTTACCCGTGTGAAAAATTCGACGTACCAGTATCCAAAGGAATGATGAGTGGCTCCTCTTGAGACCGTTCGGCCGGGTATATAGCGAGCCAGGGTTTGTTGTGTCGCCATAAGCCAGCGACTAAACATTCCCGCCCGTCAATGCAGCAGAGCGAGAGGCATGTAACTTCTCCGTCAACAGAGTAGGTATGAGCCAGAGATACCGTTGTCTCCTTGATACGCAAGGCATGGACCTGAAAGCGCGACTGTGCAAAAACTGATATACAGACACAATTACCCCTGACGACTGCATGCTCAACCACGCCATCGATATCCGGGAAGTCGCCAAAGGAGTGGCTCGCACTAGAACTCGTCAGACCAACTTTCGTCACTAACGCCTTTCGGACAGTGCTTTATATTTCTCAGTGCGAGTTTACTCGGAGCTCACCTTTCGTCGCCTTGATCAGGGCCCTTGATAGCAATACACTGTTCAGTAATTTGAATAATGTTCCCGTCAGAATCTTGGGCTGCCGCCAACGTGCGGGACATTGTATCTAGCCGTGTCATAGCCGGATCTGCCATCTCCACTTGTGAAAGGTCGGCCGATAACACCAAGACATCGGATGTCCCTGGGCTAGTAATGAGCATCTGCAGTGGCCAAGTTGCATCGGAAGTCCAGAAAACCCAAGCTCTTTTCATCGGGAGTGTATCAAAGTAGGAGATTATGTTTGCAGGCAGTCCGTAGCGTAATTCAGTGATGCTGCCTTGCGGATCGTTACCGGATACGCAGAGGATTTTGTCAGGAGCTGATACATGACCCGCTGTGCGTTTTCGCCAGGGAATTACTGGCTTGCCCCGGTGATCGGCTGCTGGATTCCAGGATACGAGAGGATCTGAAGTTGTGAAGTCGGCAGCACAAGCCCAGTTCGGAATAGGACCAAGCTGGACTATACTCTGTCGAGGTTTGAGCTATTTTGGTGTGTCAGGCTTCATACTCTCACATAAGCGATGGAGACAGCATACCTGAAATATCATGCCAGGACCAGAATCCCCTGCAACTATGGCGAAGTCAGAGTAAGCATCGTACATGGTGGTGAAGGCGCTGGAGATGTTGCAGTCACATTCGCCCACATTCATGGAAACACCAAGGACGTCTGCCGAGTTGAACTCGAAAAATACAATGACGCCGTCTTCCCGGGCCAGATAGATATGATCGTTTGTGTCGTAGTAGCCTCGTCTTCGAACAGGCCGATCCCAGGCCGTCCAGAGCGGCACGCCAAGCCCATGATGAAAACGTGTCGTGGGGTGGTCCTTTGGATCGAACGGGTAGTGATTCTCAATATCGAGAGGGCCCTGTAGAGGATCTTTGCAGATGCCAAAGGCATTCTCAGAGATGACCAGGAAAGAACTTCTTACTGTCAACGGAATGACTAACAGAGGCAAGCGATGTTCCGGACGTATGCGATAACCACGTTTTTCTTCGGCAAAGACCCGGGCCAAATCGTCGCCGCGTTCCCACTCATATATGACCATTTTTGACTTGTCGCCCTTGACAAAAATGATAAGAAGAATGACATGGCCTTGATCTTCTGGTCGAGGATAAAGAAATTCCATCTTGAGGATCGTGCCCTGAACCGCGCGGGAGTGATGGGCGCTGACAGGGGCAATCGCGTTTTTGCGCATGTACTGATCACTCATGGCTTCCATTGACTCAAGCTCGTAAACGACGAACTTGTTCTGCACATCAGCTACAGCGATGTAGCGGGATCTTGGATCCACAGCCACATGAAAGCCTAGGTGATGGCCCATTCGCCTTGCAGGGTTATGAAAGGGCGAGGCGACAAACTCGAGTTTGTTATGCATGTCTCTTTTGATGAAGAGAAAGACGAAGGTGCCGGTCTCGAGGACGAGGAGCAGCAGGTGCGGTGGCAGTAGACCGTGAGCGCCGATGGGACCAGAGGCAGAGGAAGAATCCACCATGTGAGTGTCATCGTCTTCATCTTCACTCTTGATGTGGTCGACACCAGCATCATCGGCAGTGGCCCGGAAACGTTCATACTTGTTCCCAATGACACAAGCATTGCGGATACGGCAACCAAAATCTTTCTTTCGAAGGACTTCTTGTAGCTGGCCATCTTTACGCAACTCGCTTATGCTCACGTAGCGATCCTAGAGCAATTAGCGAGTGTTGAACATTAGGCTGACGTGGGGCGTAAGCTGATTAGGACTCGGATTCGAAACTCACGCCGACAAAAGCAACATCGTTGTGATGAGCCGATCGCAAGAGGGCAGGCAGCACCCAGCGAGCAATGGGACTTTCGATAACAGTCCTGGTAAGAATACCACAGTCTGGCGGAGTAGGCGGTGGAGGGGCAGCTGGCGATGCGGCCGCGGCCGAACCTTTGGAAAGAACGGTCTTGAGGTCGACGGTCTCGGTCACCCAAGCCCCGTCCCTGAAAACATTTGTCTGGAAGGCCATTTCAACAAATCTTGTCAAGTAAACATGGTTGTGAGGGGCCGAAAAGTGCAGTCAGGTGACGACGATGCAAAGGACCAGGGGCAGAACGTTCAGAGGGACGAGGACCTTTGATATCGCCGGGCGGTATGACGGAGTTCAATTGGGAGGAACCCGAGCTTCGAATTCGACTTGGGGCAGTGCTCTCAATCTTACACAGAGTAAATGAGTGCGTCGATGGGGCCGTACGAGGAGAAGCCGGGTGGTGAATGGAACGCTGTTGCCGGCGTAAGCAACCTGGTGTAGCCGTGGGCAGGGCAGCGGACATGGGAATGTATTGTAGTCTTAAGCCGGCGCGAAAGTTGGGTCAGCGCGGAGTAGACTGAGGTTACCTTAGGTTGCTGTGGTTTAAGAGTTGTGTAGTCCAGTGGGGCCCCACGTTTCTCAAGCCATTGGGGCCCAGGGCAGTAGGTGCGTCTACACTAAGGTACCTTACCTGAGGTTGTCTGCCTACGGTACCTTACTCACGGCTTTGAACCTGCCCAGCATCATTTGGGAAGTGCGCAAACAGTATGGAGTTCTCAGGTGGCTGGCGGATAATTAAAAGCCTTGCCTGGGAGGCAAGTAACACGCGGACGTGTGGCTATACTGGTGCAGGAGTGCCGTGACTTGGATTCAGTTGGTACTTAGCACGCCCTCTTGAGATGAAAAGACTGAGTCCCTGGAAGCTGTCACGGTGTCTGTCATCAGGCGGAGCTGGGGGGGAAACAATGGAAGTCAAAAAGCGACTGAAGCATGCACGCCGCTGTTGGGCCGCGAGGTGCTCCCGAGCTTGGCCAAACAGTACAGATAATCGTTCTACTTTGCATGCCCTCCCACCCATCGCGCCTTATCGATAAAAACTGTCCTACCCCAACCTTAGGTAGGTACGAAGCTGTCAAGCTGTGTAGTTTCCCTCAGCAGGCCTGCGGCGGGGTAGATCAAGTCAGACAGGGCCCTCAGCCACTGAGTGACACAGACGGCCGCTGAAGAAGCTGACCTGGCAAGTGGCATTCTAACCTTGGTACCTACCTAGGTTCGCCTGGATTGACCCGGTCCCGCCATCCCGTCATCCCGTCCACCCACTCCGTTGTCTGAATCGGCGCTAACAAGACACCGTTTCAACAGTGTGTGGGCCGTTTAGCTAACTAGGTACCTTAGGTACCTACCTTACCTACACTTACCCGTCCAGTGGAAAAGCCGTTCATCCCAACAACTGTCGACACGCATAGTTTCTTCTACCTGCGGCAACCGGTGAACCATTCCGGCATGCTTCAGAGGCGACTAGACCTCGGCAGTCCTTCATTTTGTTGCCGCACTAGAAGCGAGAATATCCATACATCGGTCCAGCCTCCAGTCGCAGAGTGTTTGGCCCTTATCGCCGTATCAAGCCGGCTGCAGCAGACAATGGTCGGAAGGAGCATTGGCTGCGCGTATGTGGAATCTGGCCTTGGGTGGAAGTGGGAAGATGCTGCAGGTTCATTTGAATGTCTGCCATCCTGGCTGAGATCCATGTCGCAGTGGTCCATACCGTTCTCACCGGCCGGCTCGGCTTGCCTTCAACCTTGCCTACTTCGAGCTCTAAATGACTCGACGTGCTTCGCGCAACCTAGCGGACGTCTGCGTTTACTTCCGGCAAACGTCCAACAGGAGGCGCCCTGGTATCTCGAGGACGTTGTGCGTTTCTCCAAGAACCAGTCATCTCTGTCAGCATAATTTTGTCGGCAGAGATCTCCCTCTTGCCTGACGCTAGTTAGACGGCTGCGAGCGAACCAACCGGTTGTTGCTCGCCTCGTTGCAACATGGCCAAGACAACGCGGCCAGTGGCATCGGTCTTAACTTCTCTGAAGGTCAAGCGCAAAGGACTTCCACTTTTTCTTGGAGGCTGGCGCCATATTTGTGGATGTAGAAAACCTTTGGAGTCTCCAGGCAGTGTGGCGGCTAGGACGACCGGCATTCGTGGCCGCCTCCCTACCTTACGGGCGTATGTCAGTTTGTGTTCGAACTGAGCGAGCTGTGTGCTACCTTGCATCCACTGCTGCAGGCCGACTTTTTTGACCATTGCTCATGCAACCCTCCTAGCCCACGGAGCAAGTAGCCAAAGAAGCAGAATATGGCGCTCTTAGGCTAGCCAACCGATGCCAACAGCCCGAGCAAGATCTGTCGTTTGTGACAAACTACATGCTCCTTTGTAACGTCCATAACGAGTCCTAAGGGGGCTTTGCAAATGTTGACTTGGGTTACACAACTTCTTGACTGTTGCTGGACACGGCTGGTCATTTTGGTCGAACATTGTTTTCGAGACCTACATACTGCAGCCGGTGCCGTTGTTCTCTTTTTGAGGTGACAGTACAGTTTCCGCAGGCGCAGAGATAGGCTGATCGTTTGCCACTATTGAACATTGACTGGATGGAGTATATGATATTGAAATGTAATAGACATGAGGACGTGATGCAACGCACTTCGTAAGTTTCCCTTCGTTCCAGCTTACCTAAGTACCATGTCCTTCCCGCCAGGGCCTGGACCGCTTGATCCCCGCCAGCAGATGTACCTGGGTAGCAAGGCAGGCAAGGACCTCCAGGCGGCGATCCAGTGGTGCGACAGATCTCCACAGTGGAGGTCCTCCGTCATCGTGGCAGCTTTCGCAGAGTACCTGCTCCGTAACTTCTCTCTTGGATCTTTCAGGATTTGCTTCTCGCTGGCCGAGTAGTTACCCGACCTCTGCTTCTGCCTGCGCCCCGCATCCTACTCCTGTCGGATCTGTCGAGATCGACGGGTCTTGGGGTTCGCGTAACCAACCAGCGGCGACGAGGCCGGACCAAAAGCATCCTTGCAGCTCGACGAGCTCCCAGTTAAGCTAGTTTGTAGCTGCAGGATGCTTGCTCTGCTCACGCGACGAGCAATACTCAACGACTAGACGACGCGCTGAAGGTTGTAATTCGAGGTCATGGCCACCAAAGCGACTGGCGACGAAGTCAAGGACGGCGGCGCAGCCGATCATCTACGTCGCAAGACAGACGATATCCTCGAAGCATGCAAATGGCGGAATGTCGAGGCCCTTGGAAGCCTTGCCAGCACACGAGGTGGTTTCCTCACTGACGATTTGCGTCGTAAAGCATGTAAGTGGCCATCCCGTCGCCTAGCAACTCCTCTGATTAGCCTTCTAACACGGCATTTTGGGGGCAGGGCCCATACTGCTCGGACTTGCGGATAGCGAGGACTTCAAGGAAATAATTGCGACTGGTATAGACGAGACGAACTCGTGGAAAGACCTCCCGCGTCACAGGGATGAGGACCAGGTCCAGCTCGACGTCAATAGAGCCTTCATTTACTACCCCAATCGTACGCTTCTCCTTGCGAAGACGGCCAAGCGAGTTTTGGCCCGACAGTCCCGTCCATGAGCTGACGACCCAACCTATAGACCAGTCTGACGCCGAACTCGACAAGAACAAGAGCGAGTTATCTGATCTGATTACCGAAGTCCTCCGACGATATCCGTACCTGTGCTACTTTCAGGGCTATCACGACATTTGCCAGGTGTTTCTTCTCGTACTGGAGCCGCCATGGCGTGCCCGTCTAGTGTCCCGCCTCTCTGTCCTTCGCATTCGCGACTTCATGCTCACAAACCTTGAGCCAACCGTTGCGCAGCTGCGTCTGATTCCTGACATACTGAATGCTGCGGATCCCAAGCTAAAGCGACACCTCTCCGGCACCGAGCCTTTCTACGCCCTAGCCGGTACGCTTACCATGTATGCCCACGATATCCAGGCATATCGTGATATCGCCCGCCTTTTCGACATCCTCCTCACTCGGGAGCCGGTCTTTAGCGTCTATATGTTCGCTCAAATCGTCCTGAATCGGCGAGACGAGCTCTTTGACAATGACGAAGACGACCCTTCCATGCTGCACCTGATATTATCCAAGGTTCCGCAGAAGATGGATCTCGAGGCGCTGATCGCCAGCACTACTGTGCTGTACGAGCGGTACCCTCCCGAGACTCTATCAGCATGGCGGCGGATATCAAAGGCGAGCTCACTGAAGACAGCGCGGTCCGTCGAAGTCTGCGCGAAGCAGACAATGGACGAAGGATATAGCTTTTTCGAGAGGCAGTTGGCCGAGCTCCGTGCCCTGGAACGCCGGCAGAAGATACTAAGAACGCTTTGGGCGTATAGGAAGGGAGCAGCAGCAGCAGGTTTAGCTGTTGTTGTCGGACTGGTGGCAGTATATTTGCGCCGCAACAGCAGCCCGATCGCAGAATTGGCTGCCTGGTATGCGAAGTGGACAAACGGAACAAACTGGACACACACCTTCTAGACAATGCTTGGTAGAGTCTGAACCTTAGACGGGCAGGGAAAAGTGCCGCGTGTAAATTTAAAGTCCCTGGTAGTAGAGAAAAGCTACCGCACATATGATATCCCATTTGACTTACGCACCCGACGCCATGCCAGCCCACGCCGTAACAGTATGGTTTGTGATTTTAAGCACCCTCCTGGAATGCCGTCTTGAGTTCTTCGAAATGTTCCTGTTGTTCCGTAGCCAGCTTACCACTCACATCGCTGATGATGGTCGAAACCAGCGAGTAGTTGTTGTACAAAAACCGCTCACGCTTCCGCTTGTCTCCAAAGGATTGACTGTATCGAGTCAAGAAGGCTTCCGCTTCTGAACGCAACCGCCGTAAGCTAGTGACCACGGGTTCATCATCACCCGCCTCGGCGCTGAGCGTCAAGACACCCTGCAGGATCTGGCCGAATCTTTGGGTGACAAGATGAGGCGCTGCAGACAGCTTGTTCTGATCCGCAGCCTTGGGCTTAGTGGGCAGAGTATTGGTGAGTTGCCGGACCGACTCGCAGTGGTGGTCCATGACAACCTGTAGCCTAGGCCATAGGAGCATGGTAGTCATGTTGATATAGCTGTCAACGGCGGGAATCTTGCGTCGTTGTAGCTCAAACGCCAAGTGCTGATTGAGCCTGACGCACAGAAGTAGA